TTTCTTGGGAATGATCCTTTGCAGAGTAACCTAGATAGAGTGCTATCGTAGAAAGAGAATGGGCTTTTTAGTCAATACTACATTCCGCTTTCTTCGTGAGTCAGATACTGTATGACCTTGAGCTTTGCTGAACAGTCTGTTTTGTACTAATCATGGGGTTCTTTGATTTACATCTATAGCTATTTGTAGACCTTACCACAATTGTCTACAACTTCATAGGCTCAGACAGCCCAGTTAATTGCAATGTCCTATTACATTCAGGTTTACTTGCCCTAATTTCCAAGCTTACAGAGATATGCTGTGTTATCTGACATTTTGCTTTATAGTATTATTAAATGCATGTTTTGCTTTCATTTTTACCCCATTTCATCTCATTGTATTGTATAGTTGCCATACATATCTGACCAACTCTGAGTTTAACTGTAATGAGCTTCAATTTTAGTGGGTCTTGTTTTGATGATTATATCTGCTATTTTACAGTATTTGCCACTCGAATACTACAAGTAAGTCATTGAGTAGTAAATTAATCCCTGTCAGCTGTGATGGAAAAAAAAGTCCCAGTTCAAACCATCCTGCTAACAAGATATCAGAAACAAAAACACTACTGTTTTCAAGAACAGACCAGTACAATTATATAGTTACATATTATACGAATGTGTATTCACATAATAACTGGAAACATTTTGAGACTCATGCAGAATCAGCTTAACTGACGAGTCAACAATTTTTCCCTTTCTACCTCTTGTTTTCTTCTAGAAAGACCAAAAGAGACACTGATAAAAAATATAAGTGTTCTGTTGTTTGCAGGATAGTGGTAGCAGAATTATGGTAAGCATGGATCTAGTTTAAGGAAAAGATTGGGGATTACAGCTGTGTCTTATTTCAGATTAGTAGCTTAATTCAGAAATATGTTCTGATATGGACAGATATAAACAAAATTTAATCTTTGAAAGTTTTCATTTCAGTGGCATGGAAAAATCAAGGTTTTCATTCACTATTATCTGCCTCACAAAATACTTGGACACAGAAAATGGTCCTTCTCAGTGAGGTTTAGGGAATGCAGTTTATTTTGTTATCTACCCTGCCCAGAAGTTTACTGCACATTCTCCACAGACAGCTTGGGTTTTAGCTAATCCCTATCTTTTTACCTACCTCTAAATAGCTGGCTTTCCCTCACTAGATGTTTTGATTCCTGTCCAAGCAGTAAACTTTCTAAACACTTGTTTGTTTTTCTTGTTTGAATCCCAGTGGAAGAGGGCCTCCCATTCTGACAGTGTTCTTTCCTACTGAGAGCCCCGGAACTGCTGACTCTTACCTCTTGAGATTTCATAAGGATCTTGGCTAGTTGGTTCCAACTAAATTACTGAAGTAGAGAGGTTTTTCTTCTAAAATCCAAGTTAGTCTTTCTACCCACGAATCTTTCTCCAATCTTTAGGCCACTTTGGCTACAATCTGCAAATTGTATCTAGGACTTCCATCTGATTTCATAATTTGGACACATTACCATCAGCAGAAGACATTCATGAGGTATTTGGTGGAGGTGATTATGTCTTACTTCTGTGTGAGGAACATCACCACTAAATGAGAACAAATGTCCACTCTAACCAAGAGGAATCACCCCCTTGGTGGACATTCAGTTCAAAATTGAGTTTTAAGAGTCTGCCTCTATCTGAATCACCAGAAGTACTTGTTTAAATTGTGTTTTCTTGAGCTCTAATAGTTGAAGACTGTTGTTTTAGGCTACTCATCTCAAACTTACCTGATAAAAATAATTAGTGATACTTGTTAATTATACAACTTTTCCACTTCCTTTCCAGTAAATTCTATTTGGTAAGTCAAGAGGAGGGCCTAGGAATTTTACGATTTTAACAAGTATCCCATGTGATTCTTCCTCACCACAGAAGTTTGAAAAACACTGTGTAGCCTTTGCTTGTTAGCAAAACAATATTCCCCTATTCAAAACACTTAAATATGTGTCTCCAAGATTCATCTGGGTTAGAGCTTCGCATTATGACCCCAGGCAGTAAACTGGTAAGCATACAATAATCCATTAAAACCACACATGAGTGACAAGTAATGGCTGTCAGTAAAAATGGTATGTGTTTCTGAGCATTTATTTACATAGCACATATATTTTAAGCACTTAATTTAATCAAATATTTAAAAGTCGTAAAAGTAATCACAGTCATGTCTAATAATATTGAGGAACCATTGAAGAAGTATTAATGAAGCATTACAGAAAAAATCAAGTAAACAGTAATGTTGAAGAATAAGAACAATTGAAAATGAGAAAGCTAAAACCTTGGGAATAATCAAATAAAAGTACTGAATATGACTAATCATCCAGGCGATAATCAGTATAAAAGAGTTTAACATAGAAACTTTTATGTTCCAGTTTTGAGCACCAAGAAGTAAGATATTAAGGGAAAGTTGTAACTATTACTAATAAATACCTTAAATATATTGTGACAGGTTTTTTTTGCTAAGAGACTACCTACTTTGTTATGAAAATAGTTTACAGGACAATACACATTGAGCAAATAACTACAGTGGATGTTTCTAAATGTATGGCTCAGCAGAGCTGCTAATATCAGTGGGCATTGAGATTAATTATGCTGCCTGAAAATAGGGCAATCTGTTTTGTAAAAACCAACCAAATGTAAAATACATCAGTATTTCATATGATAGCTACTGTGATCTGTTAAAATACCATGCCAGGTAGCATTAGTCACCACATAAATGTCCCTGGCTTCTTTCAATTTTAACAATAAGAAAGTCACCCCTAGAACTATGCAAGTAAAAGATATTATCTTGTATATTTATTTCCTTTGTATCAATTCAATGTTTTCCACCTTATGGAACTCTTTTGCATGTTATCTTTTTATGTTCTTATAAAAATCCAGTGAGCACCACTCATTCAACATTGTATTATCTACCTATTTGTGGACAAGAAAAATGAAGCTCAGATATGTTGTGACTTCCTAAAGGTCATATACCTTGCTAATGGCAGGGTCAAGGCTCAGACTTTCATAATTTACTTCATATCAGCTACAGACCAACCAACCTTTTTTATTGGGCTCTGGTTTTCACATAAATGGAGTTCCTTTTTAGAGACTACTAGGTTTCAGTAATGGTCATTACAAAATATAAATGAGACATAGACTTTTGTTTCATTAATATATGTTATGGGATTCAGCTGAAACTATAGGAAACTAAAATCAAGAGAATTTAATTTCTAATTTATACATATATTTAAATATTAGGTGTTCTCTGCTGAATTTGATATTCGACTTTTATAAAACTTACTATTACAGTAATATAAACATAAAAATATAAACTATATTTTATTGCTTAACAGTAAATCCAGAAAAGAACAAAGCTGTTTTTAAGAAGTAGGAAATAAAATTGCTTTTAAATTTGAAATGTGGGGTGTTTTGGTTTTTATTTTAAAATTCTAGGTCAAACATTTGATTCGACAGGAGATCTGTAGTATAAATTACAAACTATTTGATAACAAACTGAAAGAATTGACCGAACGCATTGGGAAGACACAGTGCAGGAATAAACATGAAGCAATAGCTGATGAACTCTTCGTAAGTTTCTAATTTCATTTGATTTCGTTTGAGTCTTTTAAAAAGTAGAATTTGGTGATATTTGGTATGTTAAGAAAAGAAAACAATAAAGGCAGGCCCAAATATGATCCCTGTCTATAAACCTGACGTATCAGATTCTGTAGGTAATAGAATTTATTCTATCTCAGCAATATTGGCCCTTGACAAATGCTTTTAGAAATATCAGCCTTTCGGTGTTGATTGACAGGCTTAATACATAGGCAGTTTCTTTTAATTCAAAATATATTCTGTATTTGAGCTTGTACTACCTGTTTCAAGCATTTTTCATGGTTTCTTTTTGTCGTTATTTTTGTATTAATCTTCTAAGGTTACTTGCTGAGTGGTGTTTCTACCAACATTAATTTTATTATGAATCTGTTATAAGTTTGATGTTTTTATCTTCCATTCTAGAATGTCATACTAGCATCAAACGTGATTTTCTTATTGAGGTAACATTGGTTTATAACATTATGTAAATTTCCGGTGTACAACCTTATAATTCAATATCTGTATGTATTATAGCATGCTCACCTCCAGTAGTCCACTTTCCATCCGTTACCAAACATTCGGCCCCTTTACCCATTTCACTGTCCTCCAAACCCTCCTTCCCTCTGGTGACCACCAGTCTGTTGTCTATACCTAAGAGTTTGGTTTGGTTTGATTTGTTTCTTTTTTGTTTGAGTAAAATTACACGATTTTGTCCTTTTCTGTCAGACTTATTTCAGTTAGCGTAATACCCTGAAGGTTCATCTGTGTTGTCACAAATGGCAATACTTCATCTTTTTTTAACGGCTGAATAGTATTCCATTGTAACTATACACATCTTCTTTTTCCATTCATCCATTGATGAATGCATCAAACGTGATTTAAATCTTTGGCTTATATAAGAATTTCTCATTTATTTGGGTGGATGCAACACTAGTCTCACAACACTACTTTGGCAAATAGTTTTTCCTCCATCTCAGTATATTACTTAGTACTCTGGTTTCATATTTATTTGTTTTCCTCTTTTTCTTCTAGGCAAAAATAGCAAAACTTCAAAGACGTATTAAAAAAGTATTGTTATCTCAAAGGACTTGTTTGCAGCCAAACGTGTTATCCAGTAATACAGCCTATAAGGTTGGTATAAACACATAGGAGTTTTAATAACTTGGTTGACCCACATAAGTAGTTGAATTGTAAGAAATGAATATGTTTCCAAACTAAGAAGCTAAAAAGGCAATAAATCGATACTTAGAATGTTCCTGTGACTTTATCTCTGGGGAAGACACCCTTAGGTAGCCAAAAGTAAATGCGACTTATATTACTTTCATAAAGTAAGTAGAGATGTGATTTGTGATTGCCTAGACTACCCTCCCCACCATTTTATCATGATGAAAAGTTTCAAACATATACAACACAGTTGAAGTACTTTTACAGTGAATATTTGTATACACAACACCTAAATTCTACCTTTACTATTTTAATATATTTATTTTTGTCATGTATCTGTCAGTCTTTTCATCCCCTAAGCCATGTTTATATTTGGTACATTCATATATATATGTATGTATTTTGTTTCAAAATGTACTTTGCAATGTATACTTAAAATTTAAATATAATCTTCAGTATATATACAAGAATTTCTTTTGTAGTGTCTTTATTCACTTTGGTGTCATATTTATGCTAGCCTGAATAAATGAATTGAGAAATATTCCTTCCCTGTTTTCTGAAAGTTTATGTAATATTTTTATTACTTCCTTAAATGTTTTGTAGTATCTACCTCTGAAGACTATCTGGGCAAGGAACTTTCTTTGTAGGAAGACTTTTTCTTGAAAATTCTATTAATTTAATAGGTTTCGGGAAATTCAGATTTTTTCATTTCATCTTGTATAAGTTTTGTAAGTTATCTTTGGAAGGAATTTGTCCATTTTATCTAAGTTGTTGAATTTGTTAGCATAAAGTTATTGATAAAATTTCCTTATCTTTTTAATATTTGTAGATCTGTAGTGATATGCTCTATTTCATTTGATACTGGTAAGCTTCTTTTTTTTTTTTTTTCTTAACTGGTCTTGCCTAGGGTTTTTAAAATCTTATTAATTCTCTATCCCTTTTCCCTTTTCTGTTTTTTATTCTTTTTTTACTAACTTTGGATATGATTTGTTCTTTTTCCAGCTTCTTAGAAGAGAAAGGGCATTAATTTTTAACCTTCTTTTCTACTGGAAAACATACAAAGCTATAAATTGCCTTGTAAGCAGTGCTTTTTCCTAAGCACCTTTTAAGCATCCTCTCAGTGCTTAGATAATGTACTTCTTAGTGCAGATATAATTTTTGATATATAGTATTTGTTTTCCATCAGTTTAGAATAATTTCTGATTTCCTTTATGGTATTACTCTTTAAACCATGAGTTATTCGGAAATGTGTTTAATTTCCAAACATTTGGTAGTTTTTTTCGCGTGTTATTTTTATTGATAATCTAATTTAATTTTGGTCAGAGAATATACTATGTAAAATTCGATCTTGATTGTTATTGACACTTATAGTCCAAGATATAGTTTCCCTTGTTGTATGTACACTTGTAATGTTCTGTAATTGTCACTTTTGTGTTAATTCTGCCAAGATGGTTGATAGCAGTGAATGATGGCCCTGAAAAGATGTCTATGACCTAATCTGTAGAACCAGTGAATATCTTGCTTCACATGGTAAAAGAAGCTTAGAGATGGGGCTCAATAGTCATAAGGATCCTTATAAAAAAGAGTCAGGAAGGGCGCAGCAGAACAAGGAGATAGGACAGTAGAAGCAGAGGTTGGAATGATAATAGAGGAAGGGGCAATGAGCCAAGGAAAGCTGGCAGCTTCCAGAAGCTGGAAAAAGGAAACAGATTTTCCCCTGAAGCCTCCAGAAGGATGCAGCCCTGCAAACAACTTGATCTTAGCTTAGCGAAAGTGATTACAAATTTCTGGCCTCCAGTACTGTGATAGAATAAATTCCTGTTGTTTTAAACCACCCAGCATGTGGTAATTTCTTATAGCATCCTCAGGAAACTAATACAGAATGTGTGAGGTGCCGCCATAACAAATACCTGAAAATGTGAAAGTGGATTTGGATGGGGTAATGAGAGGCTAGAAGAATGTAGAGCCTAGAAGAATATTGAGAAGTGTGATTTTTTAAAAATCCTGATTGCCTTGAACAGACTTTTTGTAGACATATAGATGTTAAGGGCTGCAAGTTAGGGCTCAGAAGGAAATGAGGAACATGATATTGGAAACAGAAGGAAAGGGGGTTCTTTTTACATAGTGACAGGAAGCTTAGCTGAATTATATCCCTCAGTGATATGGAAAACAACTTGTAAGTGATGAAATTTTATTAGGCTTACAAGATTTTTGAGCACAGCATTGAAGGTTTGGCTTGGTTTTTTGCTTCTTATAGTAAAATGTAAGAGAGAAGAGATAAAGGAAACTGTTGAGCAAAAACAAACCAGGAAGACTTGATTTGGGAAATTCTAAGCCTGTCCCAATTGCAAAAGACCCTAAAATTAGGAAGTTCACTGTCAGAAAATTATGATCTGGAGAGAAAGCCAATAGTGTGTCAGGACAAGCTTTTGCTAGAGCCTTGGAAAGATCAAAAAGTCAGAATATTCAGTCACACAGAGAGCTCTTTGAAGAAATTAGGCATTTGACTTTCTTTCAGTAGGCAGTTACCCTGTTTAGATTTACTGTGTAGTCTTAGACTCCTGTTGTGAGCTCTAGTTCCAACGACAATTTACTTTTCAAAGTCCTTGCAGTGCTATTCTGGTTGGCTTCGTTCTTATGGCCCCACTGGATCTCCTGTTCCATCCCTGCTGGTGCTGCCTGGCCTCCCCAGAGATGTGGGTGGAAAGTTCAGGAAATGTTGGCCTGTGGTCACTGCCACTGCAGTAATTTGGACCTGCAGCTGTGGAGCAGGAACACTGCTGATGCTTCAGTAGTCTGCACACACCACAAGTGTGTGATGATGGCCCCATTGACACTGCCGTGGATCTGGCTCACTGCTGTTCCAGGGGTGGAGTCCTGGGGTTTGGTTCCTGACTGGGCTTTGCTAACATTGGCACTGCAGCCAGTTAGGGCCACTGCTGCCCCAGGTGTCAGGGGGGATCCAGTTGACACTAGTGCTGCAATGAAACTGGCTGCTGATTTTGCAGGTATGGAGTGGGAGATTAACCACCTTGCTCCAGGTTTGGAGAGAAGGATGGATCCCTGGCCTTTCTGACACTCAGTGTAGGATGTATGGATAATCAAAAGAAAACTCAAGGAATTCACTGTGGTGTTGCTTCTCAATCTTGAGGTCCCCAGACAGACTGCCTGCCCTCTTTTCACCTTTCATAGGGATTTTATGATTATCCATTGAATAATTTCCAGGGTATTTAGTGGTGCTTAGAGCTGAGGAGCATGGGAAAGTGAGTCTATGCCACCTTGTCCTGGAATTGAAAGAATACTACTATTTTTGCTATTGTTTTACACTGTTGTTTGAACCTATTTCTACATATAAAATCTATACATGTAATATAATAACATTTTAGAATTCTGCCTTTGCGTATCTTTCTGTTCATGCTGTCTATCAGAAAAGCCCATGAATTGGGCAAGCAATTGATCCTTTTGTATTAATAAATAGACACATATATTTTAAATACTTCAAGTTCTTAACCAAAGCATGGACTAAATGTTTCAGCTCCCAGGTTTTAAACAAAACTCATTAAATGAAAGAGCAAGTTGAAATTTTATTTATTTTTGGTCCTGACTCATTACTAAAAGTATAACAAAAGCAAAAAGTTTCCTTGTTAAATTCTAATGTTTATTAATTCCTAAAACTTGGTATAATAGAAATAAAATGTGTCTAGGTACTTCATTTTTCCTTCTTTCCATTCAGGGAAAGTTAATTTGTACTATCATTTTTATTTCTTTGAATTTTTTTTTAAATTCATTTTGACAGAAAACAGCAATCATGGTCTTCAGCCATTGACATATCTATAATTTAATATATGTCTTGCCATATATATGTAAGACTATTTTAAGAACATTTTCCAAGTGAAATTTTACCTATCATCAATTTTGTGTGGAAGGAAACAATTGTTAACCATCCCCTCAATTGGTTTTTCCTCATCCAATTGACAGGTTGCAAATTCAGAGTCAGTTAATAGTCCATATGAAAGAAAGACGTCTGTGAACTCCGAACCTTCTCACTTTTCAGAAAAAGCAAGTGAAAAGATTGATTTGTCACTGGATCATGATGAGGCTGTTTCTGAAAGGTAGGCATTTCCACAAAAAATGCATAAACTTATTTATCTAAATATATACTTGTAAAGATATACCCTTTTCTTAATTAAGCATAAAATAACTTAAAGCTTTATATTTATATGAAGCTTTACATAGGAATAGTGTAATGATGGAACAGAATTGGTTCTCCAAAGCTTTTATCTTATTTGTTTTAACAATACTAAATAAATTTGAATTGGTTAGGTGTCGAGTTTTCATTGTGATGCTTTCCATCTGTGGTATGGTATCTGGAGTGAGTGACTGGAGCACTACAGTAGTTTCCAGATTAACATGCAGAAAAGTCAGGGCCCTATCAAACAGTAATTTTAAAAAATTGCATAGAAGAGTAAGACTAAGAAAGTAAGACTAGGGGAAAAGTGCCTAAAATTACACATTTTTAAAGTACTATCGTGATAATTTCAAATTAGAGTCAGTGGGTTAAATTATTTGCGTAATTGAGTCACAGAACAGCTGAGACATCTAATCTCCAGTCTAGCCTAAAATATTTGGGGCTGGTAGGGAAGAAGTAGTTTAGTTTAACAAACATGATTGATGATCCAGGCCTGGATTAATGTTCAAGGAGGGGAGTGGGGAGTAGGGGGAGGGCATCTTAATGAATTATTTTCTCTTCGCTGATGATTCTCAACAGTTTCTCTGAGCTTTATAATATTATTTAGTCTTAACATTTACTACTTAAAATGTCTGATGGTTTTACTTTTATTTGTTAAATTATACCTCAGCTTTTAAAAAGAGGAAAATATACAAGCAAAAATAAGTGAATTAAATGATAGCCATTGTCTGAAGTACAACACCCTTTCCCAGAATAGCTGTGTATACTCAAGGATGCTATAAAACGAATGAGAAGCAGTCTGGTCTATACCATTTGCAGTAGATTGTTGATATTGGGACTATACATGTAGTTTTGACTCTCCAGGGAAAACCTAATATTCCATGATATTGAGAGGCCCATATTTCAGTTTTAAACCAGGAAGTTGCTGTGAAGAAGGCATTTATTTAGTTGAAGAAGGCAAGAGTCACATTTCAGTGAGTCTTTGTTGTTACCACTTACTGATGCATGTGCTAAAACTTAAAATAACAAAAAAAAATTAAATGCTGATAACAAAAGTAAAGAAGAGCCTTATATCTATGATATGAACAGTCCACCTAAACTCCATAATGACTAAAGAATCTGAAATTTGTGAAACTGTTTCAGGCAGAACCCTCAGCCCTTGGCGAGTGTGAGAATATGTGTCACTTGACTCTCATGGGTGGATTCAATAATAAGTTTTGTAAAACATTTAAGGAAGAAACACAAATTTTAAACAGACTAGAGCAGGTCCTTGAATAATGACGGTTCATTCAACCTTGTTTCATTGTAATTTTGACGAGATGCTGTAGGAATTTAATTCTTGTTTATATCCATTAGTCTATGATCAAAGTGGTTTCGCTATAGTCTTTTCCCTTAAAGTCACAGAACCTATTGATGATGTAAAGTGAGGACTTACTGTATTCCAAAGGGAAAAAAAAAGAGGAAATATTCTTCAGTTCATTTTAGGACACTGGTACTAAAATCTAGTATAACTAAAATTAAAATCAATTTAAAAATTTTACAGAAATGGAGAATTGCAGTCCACTTTTACCCATGAAATAAATACAGATATTCTAAACAAGAGACTGGCAAACCAAGTTCAACAATCCATAAAAGTTGGGTTTGTCCCAGGAATGCTGCAATTTTGGTTCAACAATAAAAAAATCAAAGTAATTTTCCAGGAGAAGAATCATCAGCTCACAATAAATGTAGGATTTAATAAAATATCTATGATTAAAAACAAATTTTTGGCAAACCTGGAATCGGAGATAACTTCCTTAATCTGAAAAAGAATATCTACAAAAACTCTAAAACAAATCTGGTGGTAAAATATTGGAAATATTCACTTTGAGATACAAAATAAAAGGATGCCTGTGCTCACTACTTTAACATTATACTGAATAGTTTGGCTAATGCAAAAATACAAAAAAAAACAATGAAAGAAAAGTAAAAATAAAGGATACAAAAAGAAGCAACAATAAATATTAACTATTCTTCGATAATTGATGGCATGTATGTAGGAAATCCAAAGGAATTTACAGATAAATTATTAGGATTAATAAGAATTTAGAAAGATTGTTCAAACTTAAATATGTAAGAAATCAATGACATTCCTATATGTCATATCTGATATATAAACAAGTAGGAAATGAAATTTTTAAAAATTCCAATAGCACCAAACATATCAAGTGCCTAAGAATACATTTAACAAGACATGTAGTAATTCTGAAGAACGTTACAAAACTCTGAAAAATGTTAAAGAAGAATTCAGTGGAGAAAAGTAGTATGTTTATGGTTTGGACAATGCAGTGTTATGAACTGTTTTTACTTTTGCTCAAATTAATTTATGGAGTACAATTTCAGATTCCCAGTGTATAATTTTATGGAGCTTGACAAGCTGATTTGATTTGATTCTAAAATGTATACGTAAATGCAATAGGTTAAGAGGCCAAGTTATACGTTAAGTAGAAAAACAACTTGGAAGGAATTTGCCATCAGATGTCAGAACATTACAAAACTACAGTAATTGGATAATGTAATATTTGCAAGTGTATGTTAATGTGATATTGCCAAATAGAACAGCGTGGAAGAGTCCAGAAGCCTGTGCATGTTTGTATGTGATATATGATGGAGATTGAGTGGCAGGTCATTTGGGAAGTTATTGACTTCTATTAAATGATGTGAATTTGCAATCCGGGTTGGGAGAAATATGAAAGAAATTGGATCCCTATGTCAAGCTATACATAAAAATCAATCTCATGTGGATTAAGGAAACTAAAGGAAAATTATAAAGCTCTTAGACGGTAGCATCTGAAATACCCTTATCATAAAAGAAAAAGTGATCAGTTTTGCCACATTAAAATTAGAAACTTCTTTTCTCAAGAGGCACTATAAAGATAGTGAGAAGACAGGCTATCGAGTGAGAGAAGATACTCGCAGCACATATAACCTGTAGAGGACTAGTACCCAGAATACATGTGAAGAACTTCAACAGATCAGTGAGTAAAAGCCAGATAATACTAAAGAAAAATGGGCAAAAGACTTGTCCATCTGCTTCACAAAAGAGGAATTCCAAATGGCCAATAAACATATGAAAAGGTGCTCACCTTTATTAGTAATCAGAGAAATGCAAATTAAAACCACAATGAGATACCATTTTATATCAGATAAGGAAAAGTAAAACATTTTAAAATCTGGTAATACAAGGCATTGGTGAGGTTTTGAAATAGAATTGGTTTTATTTAACATTTTGTTTTGGGGTGAGTAAATTGGTATAGTACTTTAAAAAAAAAATTGTCATTATCCAGAAATATTGAAGATCTGAATATCCTTTGACATAGCAGTCCCATCCCATGATATATACCTTGCCTGGAAACATGTATACATGTGCAATAGGATATATATAGAGAGAAATGTTTATTAGCAACATTTTCCATAATGGCCAAAAACTGGAAAGAAAAAATGTTGTATAGTCGAAAAGAAAAATAAATTGCAGTAAGTCCATGCAATGAAATCCATACATTCATGAAAATGAAGGAACCACAGTCATGTTCAGCAGTATGAGTTACACCCACAAAACAGTATTGCAAAGCAGACACAAAAGAATAGTATGATTCCATTCAAACAAAGTTCAAAAATAGCCAGAAAAACAAAAGTATATTATTTAGGAATTCAAAGCTAAGTGGTAAATCCAAAGAGTAAAACAAGGAAATTAGTACCACAAATGCTATTTTTTGGAGGAGATTTATGACACAGGTTAGAGGCACATAGGTTTCTGAAGTGCTGATAATTTAAGATATATTTACCACAGTGTTGACTATGTGGGTACTAGTATAATTATTTCTTAAACAATGTGTATTTTTAATTCAATTTGAAAATAATTATTAGAAAATTTAGATTGTTTATGTTTAATACAACCTTACTGATATATGTAGGTTCATAACTGCAGTCTTACTACTTGTTTTCTATTTGTCCCATCTGTTTTATGGTCCTTTTCCCCCTAAATATGACTCTCTCTGTCTCCATTTTAGAATTTTTTAATTCTTTTTTTCCTTTCCCCATTACCTTGTTAATTATATATATTTCATTGTTTCTTTAGAAGTTATCCTAAAGATCATGATAGGGATTCTTGATTCTAATATTAAAGTCTAATAATATGAATTTCTACTTTTACCATTTTGTAGGCAATGCTTGACCTTCGTACACTTTAACTCCATTTACTGCTTGCCCCATCTTTTGTGTTTTCATGCATTTTAATTTTATATTATATCTCACAAAATAATATTACTATTTTTTGTATAGTCATTATTCATTTAGAGTTACCCAAATATTTACCCTTTCTATTGCATTCCTTCCTGTATTTCCATCTTTCCACCTGGAATAATTTTACTTCTGCCTGAAGAACTCCATTTATTATTTATTTTTTAAGTTCTGCTCAGGATGAATTCTGTTAGTTTTTATTTGTCTGGAAATACTTTCATTTTTTCTTTATTTTTACAGGATATTTTAACATGGGTATTGAATTGTAGATTGACAGTTATTTTTTTTTTACTACTTTCAAGATGTTATTGTCTTCTGATTTCTGTAATTTCTATTGGAAAGTTAGTCGTAGTGTTACTTCTTTGAAGATAATACTTGTATTTCTCCAGCTGCTTTTAAGATAGTCTACTTCTTTGGTTTTAGTCAGTTTGATGCTAGTTATGGGGTATTTTGTTTTGCTTTTTAATGTATCCTTATCCTGATTGAGGCTCATAGTCCTTGATTCTGTGGCTTGCCTTCTTTCGTCGTCATTGAAAAATTCTTGGTCATTATCTCTTCATATAGTGCTTTTGTACCATTCTTGTCTTTTCTCCCCTTCTTTCTAATTATGTGTTTCTCTGTATTATGTGTTTTGCTGTATACTCCATCTTTTTTGTTCTCTATGCTGTGGTCTGGGTACTTTTCAGTTTATTAATCTTTTCTTCAGCAAGATCCAAGTGGCCGTTAAGCCCATGTATTGCGTTCTTAATTTCAGTTTGTGTAATTTTTCTTCTTTCCATTGGATTCTTTTTTATAGATTCAAGTTCTCTGGTGAAATTTTTTATTTTGTTATCCATGCATTAAACATTTTATCACTGTTATTTTCTGATCCATTTCTTATGACTCTTGTATCTGGGTAACTTTTAGCTCATTTTTTGCTATTCTTCATTTTTGTCCTCTTTTTTTAAAACTTTTCTAAAATTAAGTTTATTGGGGTAACATTGGTTAATACAATTATATAATTTTCAGGTGTACATTATAATTTGACATCTGTATATTCTATTGTGTGTTTACCACCCAAACTTCAGTTTCCTTCAGCTACCATATATTTGATCCTCTTTACCCACTTCGCCCTCCCCCTACCCCTCTATATTTGACCCCCTTTACCACGTCTACCTCCCCCTTCCTTCCCCACCTCCTACCCTCTGGTAACCACTAGTCTATAGTCCATGTCCATGAGTCTCTATTCATTTGCCCTGTCCTCTTTCTTATTACACCTGCTCATTTTTTTTGTTTGCATATAGGACATTGTGTATTGAAAATTACAGAGGCTCTAAATCATGTTATCTTCCATCAGAGTGGGTTCGCCCTATATTCTTTGATACTCCTCCCTTTAAAAAGGTGGAGCCTAATTCCCTTCTTGGGCTATATGTAGTGACAGCAAATAGAAACGGTAAAAGTGACAGTATGTAACTAGATCATAAAAGACATCATAGCTTCCTTGCTTTCTCTCAGATAGCTTGCTCTGGGGCACTTTAACTGCCACAGTAGCATGGAAGCAAGCATAAGTTACTCGAGGATATCAAGCAACCTGTGCAGAGTCCCAGATGGTGAGGCACTCTGCCAACAGCCATGTGAGTAAGCCACTCTAGAAGCAGAACCTCCAGCCCCAGTCATGCCTTCACATGAGTGCAGCCCCTGCCAAGCCAAAAACTCTTCGTAGATCCATCAGAGAAGAAGGGTTACAGAGCAAACTACTGCTCCCAAAATTAGAGAGACAAACATGCGGAAACTGAGAATCACAACATATAGGAATTGGAACAGAAACCTATGAGCAGAAACCACAGGAACTAGTGCAGAGGTAGGAAAATCTAAAACAATTTTGTGAGGTTTACCTACAGAAGCTCTACCAGGTCCTCAGAATATTGCAGAAAAATCCTCTCATGCTTCCAGCAGAGGGAAGGTAAAAGGAACCTTTTGAAATGCACCAGAGCTTTCTCTTAACAAGGCCTGCCATCAGGAGAAACTATTTTCAGAGCTTAACCTATCTGGGAGAAAGGAAATATCCAACTCCTGCTCCCCCTAGCCTTCCGCATGGAAGAGGGGAAATACCCAACTATAGTCCCCTCTAGCCATCCTGTCTCACCTAAGCTGTAGGGTAGAGTGGTGTGGTGGGGTGGGACTGAGAAGCACTAGTGAAGTTTACATTCCAGGGGCACAGGCTCACTAAAAGTCTGAGACCTAATCATAGGTCTAGTAGAATGCTACTAGACCTCTATTACTATATTACTATATTACCACTATATTACTAAAGGCCAGTTTACTATAGTTCCTTTTACCCAGTACATGTCTACCTTTTAGTAAAATTACAAGATGTACTAAAAGGCAAAAAACAAAACAAACAAACAAACAAAAAAAAAAACCACACAATTTGAAGAGACTGCACAAGTATCAGAATCAAATATGGCAGGAATGTTGGAATTATCAGACTGGGAGTTTTGAAAAACTATGATTAATATGCTAAGGGCTTTAATGGAAAATATAGATAAAATTCAAGAACAGGTGGATAATGTAAGCATAGAAAGATGGAAATTCTAAAGAAAAAGAAATGCTTGATATAAAAAACACTAAGCAGAGAGAGATGGAAATTCTAAAGAAAAAGAAATGCTTGATATGAAAAACACTAACAATTGAAAAATGCCTCTGATGGACTTATTAGTAGAATAGACACAGCTGATGAATCACTGAGCTTGAAAGTATGACAATAGAAACTTCCAAGACGAAAAAAAGGAAAAAAGGACCAAAAAAAAAAAAAAACCCAGACTATCCAAGAACTTGGGCAACTACAAAGGGAGTGACATACACACAATGGGAATATCATGGGGGAAGGAACAAGTGCAACATTTAAAGGAATAATGACTAAGAATTTTCTCCAAATTAATGTTAGATACCAAGCCACAGATCTAGGAAGCTTAGAGAACACCCAGCAGAAAAATACCAAAAATACTACACTTCAGCATATCATATTTAAACTTTAGAATAGCAAAGATAAAATCTTGAAAAGCCAGAGGAAAAAACGCTTACCTATAGAGGAGGAAAGATGAAAATTACATTTGACTTCTTAAAAACTATGCAAGCAAGAAAGTGGAGTAAAAATCTTAAGTGTTATAAGAACAAAACCACCAACCTAAAATTAAGTACTCCAAAATTATCCTTCATAAGTGAAGAAGAAATTAAGACTTTTCTCAGACAAACAAAAATTTAGGATATTTGTTGTCAGTAGACCTGCCTTACAAGAAATGTTAAAAATTCTTCAAAGAACTTTTATATCGTATCATAAATTATATCAAAGGAAAATGATATGTTAGAACATCAGATCTACATAAAGAAAAGATCATCAGAGAAGGAATGAGTGAAGATAAAATAGAAACTTATTTTTCTTCATTGATTTAACAGACAGGAGTTGGTTCAAAATCATAGCAACAGTGTGATTGTGCATATGTGTGTGCTTACATAAAAGTGAAATGAATGATGTAATGATTGAAGGAACATGAATGAAAAATTGGGAATGTTTCGTTGTAAGATACTTGCACTACTTGTGAAGAAATATAGTGTTATTTGAAAGTGGACTTGAATTAGTTGTAAATGTGTATTGCAGACTATAGGGCAACCACTTAGAAGTATAATTGATATGTTAAGAAAGGAGAAAAAAATAGAAGCATAAAATGCAGTTTCATTCTTAATTGTCAAAACTTGGAAGCAACCACGATGTTCTTTAGCAGGCGAATGGGTAAATAAACTGTGGTACATTCAAATAATGGAATATTAACGGTGCTAAAAAGAAAATGAGTTTTCAGGCTATGAAAAGACATGGGCATATCTTAAATGCATACTATTGAGTGAAAAGCCAATCTGAGAAGGCTATATACTGTATGATTCCAACTATATAACATTCTAGAAAGGACAAAACTATAGAAAAAAAAAGACAATAAAAAAGATGAGATGTTGCCAGGGGTTACTGGAGAGAGATGAGAGATGAGCAGGCAGAGCACAGGGGATATGTAGGGTAGAAAAATGACTCTGTATGATACTGGAGTGGTGGATACATGTCATGTCATCATTCATTTGTCAAAACCCATAGAATGTACAACATTAAGGGTAAACCCTATTATAAACTATGTACTTTGGGTGATAATAATGTGTCAGGTAAGTTCAGCAGTTGTAACAAGTGTACCACTTTGGTACAGGATTTTGGTAGTAGGAGAGGTTGCGGGGGTGAGGAACTGGGTATATGGGAACACTGTACTTTCCACTTAATTTAACTATAAGCTAAAATTGCTCTATAAAAAAGTATTAATTTTTAAAAGTACCAAATATTGCTGAGTGAAGTTAAGGGCGATATGGTGAGATATGCCATATTCATTAATCAGAAAATTTATATTAATGTCACTTTGCCCAAATTGTTTTGTACATTTAATGCAATGTCAATCAAAATCCTGGCAGCATTTTTTATAGAAAGTAACAAGGTGATTGAAAATTTATGAAATTCAAAAGACCTAGAAGATGAAAACAATGTTATAAGAAAAACAAAGTTGGGAGACATAAACTACATGAGTTCAAGACTTACTATAAATCTGTAGTAATTAAAACAATGGTATTGGCATAAGGATGGACATATAAATCAATGGACAGAATAGAAAGTATACATATAGTCCATTGATTTTCAACTAAAATGCTGAGGTAATTTAATGGTGAAAAGATAATCTTTTCAAGAAGTATTATTGGAATAACCAGAGGGGAAAAGTAGACCTCAACTCTTAACCTTACGCCATATACAAAAATAGCTTGAAATGGATTATAGACCTAAATACAAAAGCCAAAAATTAAATATATCTATAAGAACTTGGTATAACCCTATATATAGAAAATTCATCTAGAATTTTACAGGCTTGATAAAATTTACATCAAGATTTTCTTTAAAATTTTGATTTAAATGCCAAACTCATAAAAGTGGTATCAGGGTCAAATAGAAGCAGAAGATAGTCTTCTGACCCAGGATATTCTGTAGCCATAATTAGCATTATTTACCATCAATGCTTAGTTTAGTAAAAGTGTGGTAAATACTGCTACTATAGTGAGGTAGTCGCAGAATTAATTTTTAATAGCTTTATTTGTTATAGTCCTACAAAAGAGTCAAAGTATCTTAATGGAGTTCTTTCAGTTACGTGTTTCATTTTCATGAAGGCAAGTGTATGTGCCAGAGTGACTTTATATTACACACTTATGTATATTATATACTTCTAGATTGGATTCATTGTAAGTAGAAGTCTACTAAGTTTTAAGAGTCCATTATTATTGGATATCCATAAACTTTTGGTCATGTAATTGGTAATACATAGGTATTTGGTTTTATCATTTCCATTTCACCTCCACAATTATTAGATTAAAACATGTCAGTTACAAATGTTAAGTTAGAAGAAGAATTCTAACCATTGATTGTATGTTTAAGCTTAAAAATGCATGTTTAGTTTATTTTTTGTTTAATTTTTTTATCATTTTAGTAACGATGATGTTATGTTGATTTCTGTGGAAAGCCCTAGTTTGACAACACCAATTACATCAAATCTAACAGGTATCTTAAGTTGGTTAAAATATGATCAAATTAGAAAGCTTAAAATCAGTATTTGTTTAGAGATTTGAATATTCTTTTAATAAAATTCTACTCTCACAAGTGCTTTAATTTACATTTGGTTAATATTACCTGAATAAGTAAATGATCTCTTAATATAATTGAGGTTTTTTTTTTTAACTTTGTGTTTTATCAATTCATGGCCTTTTGTTTCTTTACTATTTGTTTAATGGCTTTGTAAGTTATAAAACTACTTACCTTTTAATTTACAATTGGTTAAAAATAACTGGAAAAGGAAATGGACTTTTTATATAATTGAGGTTTTTTTTTTTAACTTTGTGTTTTATCAATTCATGGCCTTTTGTTTCTTTACTATTTGTTTAATGGCTTTGTAAGTTATAAAACTACTTACCTTTTCATATACATTATTTTTACTTGTTTGCTCTGGCCTGTGTTAGTGCTTTGCTTTTTGGTTTATCTATTAAGTTATAGTATACTTAAGATTTAAAATTTGGCTATTCTTTAGTTCTTTGATTTTTAACTTTTGGTGTTTTTATAGTACTTTTCGTTGCTCTGTAGAGTTTCTCTCTTATTACATTTATATAAAAAAATCTTTAACCTTAAATTTCCAATAAATTTCCTCACAGATTAGTATCTTGTTGGCTCATAATTCCTCATTCAAAATTCTACATTTCTTTTTTATTTTTTACTCTGTATTAGAGTATTTGCATCTTAATCTCATAAAATTTTGCCTCCACGTGTACAACTACTTAATTGTTCATCTGGTTTAGGCGGTTAAGACTATGGATCAAAGAGTTTAAGGGATATTAAGCATCTGCCTGAGGCTTTCTACTGGTTCTAGGAAGAATGCCCCTCAGCTCTCTGAGGCAGTCTAAAGATATTGTGACTAAAAAATGTGGTACCTCTCCAAGTTTATTTCCTATTAATTTACATATAGGTTTTCAAAAAAGAGTTACTAATACAGTTGTAAAGTTACAGGATAAAATCTTTTGAACCAAAATTACATTTTTTTAACTTGCTCATCAGTCTTTGGAATAGGTGGTCAGTTGAGTTACTTTTTATGATTGTATAATAAACCGTTAATTATCATTCCCATTATTGTGTTTCAGCATTTATGTATTACAAAGTCCATAAATATTTAATAATTTAATAAACATGTCAAATGTTCATATTTTAAAATTTTTCTTTTAGATACTGGAAAAATTACATCAGGAAATTCTCACAATTCACCTGATGCTAAAACTGAAGTTACGGTAGGTAATAAATATTGTCTGCGAATGTTGTTTATTTAAATACATTAGTTTTAGGAACTTTACTGTTGCTACATGTTGGATGACTCAGCTTTGTTATTCATTCTTTGGGAAATTCGTTCTCTGAGAAATTAATCTCTGACTAGTTAGTATAACCAGGTTCCAGTCTAGCTTAAACATTAACAGGCAAACAGGTAATGATAAACATATTTTACAACCATACTTCCTTACCAAATTAACTTATATAGATTCTGTTTAGTCATATTTTCAGAAACTATATAGTATTTCATGACTTTCTCTTTCATAGTAGAGTTAAATTAAACCATGAAGACTTAGAGAATGTTCAATCTCTAGCTTCTATATGATAATGTTAAATGATGTGTGTTTTATTTTTAAAAAACATTTTCTGCTATTGAGGCAAAACATTTTTTTAACATAACTTTTCAGGCTGTAGAAACAAAGAAACTTGATTCTGTGATTGACCTGACGGAAGAAGACCTGTCAAACTGCAACACAGGTAAAGGATTTGTCTTTCTTTTTTTAAAAAAGAAGGAAGGGTAACAATTCAAAATGCGTTTGACCTGTTTACGAGGTTTGTTTTAGGATGTTAGTGTGTGTGTGTATAGTTCTGTGCAATTTTATCACATGTAGATTTGTATAATTGCTGCCACAATCAAATTACACAAATTACACTCCAGGGTTCCCTCATGTTTACCCCTTCATAGCTACATCTACCTCCTGTCCCCAGTCCCTAAACTCTGGTGACTACTAATCTGTTTCTACCTCTGTAATTGTTATTCCATGGATTTGAGGCAAATATGATGACACGGTGTGTGTCGTTCTGAGATTAGCTTCTTTCACTTAGCATAATTCCCTTCGAGGGCTATCCAAGTTGTCACGTGTTATCAGTAGTATTCCTTTTTATTGCTGAGTAGTATTCCGTGGTAGGGATATATAATAGTTTATGTATAATAGGTTATCCAGTCACTCACTGAAAGACATCTGGGTTGTGTGGGGCTATTCTGAATCTCTTTTCTCCCTGTGGCACGCACATTTTCTTCCTTAACCTTAACAATAGAGGTTGTGAGAGCATAGGATGCTAGAGCGTGTAAACAAATCCAACAAAAGGCACTGGAGTGAAAAAAGAGATACTTTATTCAATTAATAGTTTGCAAACCGTGAATACAGAGCCTGAAAGTGTTCTGCCAAGATGAAGGAAAGGCCATTTTTTATGGAAAATCTCCCACCGATAGTTTTAGTTCGTTTCATGTAAATGGGGTTTCCAAATTGTAGTTTGGATTGCTTGGTATAAATGCAAATGTAAGAGTACATTTTGTACAGTTATAATTGGTTAGAGCAGGTCATAGTCTATTGGTTGAGTGATAACATGGTGATGAGAGAATAAAGAACTTCTCTGTAGTGCTTGACGCAGGTAGGGTAAGCGTGCAGGGCATAGTGTGGGAAACAGCTCAGCTCTGGTCCTTCCCAGCATACAGAGTGCATAAGAGGCCCCCGTCAGTACGTGGCCACTAGACCCTCGTTTTGACTTTAGGCCTGGTTAACCATAATGAGTCAAAGTCCATCTCAATAGATGAATTCCTTCTCGGGGTTCAAAGGCATAACATGAAAATGTAGACGGAGAATGACAAGGTGGCCTCTTTCTCAGATTGAAACAAAAAGAAGTAAAATACAGTCCTCTGGGGCCGGTAACCAGTTGTAAGGTTTCATCTCTTAATAACTGTACGTGAATGTTTATGGTACTTTTTTGATGAAATGTTTGAATTCTACTTATTAGCATAACTAAATTATGTAATATTTTTAAAATGGAGATTATATAGGAAGTATGTAATCCAGTTCCTTCCCCCCTTTCAACTATGGATCCAAAAAAGGTTGGAGCCATTGGAATCTCCAGGTACCTCATGATAAGATTTAAAAACCCTTCAATTTCCAGTTTCAACATGAAGATTAAAAATATAAATTTGAAAAATAAAGTCCATAATGAAGTAATCAGTTACTTTTTTTAATGATTAAGATTACCGAATTGTTTCTAAACTGCATGATACAGGATTTGAGATACAGTGAAATACAAAGTAAGAACACAGATTAATTCAGTGCTTAACAAAATAAGTCATACCTTTAACTTGGTGGCTTCAGTTTGAAATCTAGCAAATAGAAGGATAGTTATGCTCATTCATGATGCTAACTCGTGGTGATGTGAGTCTGTCCTGTGGAATGTACAGCTCTGAGTACCAGTCAGGTCAGATTTGGGTTGTTTCCCATATTCCCAGACTCGGTAAACGGTATCAATAGCTCACTCAGTTTCCCAAGCCAGAAGTGGAAGAGTCGCTTGACTCCTAGATCTGCCTCATTCCAACATCTAGTCGGTTTTCAAGCCCATCATTTCTGTCTCCTGAGAAGCTAACAGATCTGATTCATACTTTCTTATTTTAGAATTTCATCACCTTTGGCCTGGTCTGTTGCCATAACTTTTTAACTAATATTTCTGCCCTGACTTAACTGCTTTTAATGAATCCCCCAAGTTGCCACTAAAATATTATTTCTTACATACAAATCTGGTTATGATTTTGTCTTTAGGGTAAAATCTAAACTCCTTAACATATGCAAAGATATGCAAATTCTTAGTGACTTAGACTCAAAACTTTTCTAGCTTTACCTTCTACAAACTATTGAAAGAAGGAATGTTAGTTATGGAAAGTTGTATTTGTTAGAATCTTTTTTGTATGAAACTGTTCGCTTGAAAAATTAAAGGTCATTTATGTCAGCTTTTGTGTGATGATTAACCTACAGATTATGCTTTTACAGATCTAGTCCTAATTATTAAAACCAGTTAAAAAAGGCTGTACAGACTCTGAGAATTAAAATCATAAAGTCATTACCTCTTCTAAAAAAATTTTTTAACACCAGTAAATAAAGTGACTAATAAATTAACTTTGAAACACAATGCACTCTTAATTACCCTTGTCAGTCAAAAGAAACTTACAAGTTTAACAAATTTGATTTGGAGAGGTTCATAAAGTATATGGAACCATTATATGACTGCATACACAAGGGATCTAAAATGGTTTTTACTGCTTAATAGATGTGTTTAAGTTTCTGAAATTTTTAGAAGTTAGCATCCACCCAGGGTGCAGACTACTATTCTTTGCTTGAAGGCTAAGGGATTGATTATTGCAGATCAGTTTAACTTCTTAAACCTTGTGTTGTTCACAGAAAATCCCGTATCCACCCTGGAGTCACCTATGAAAGCTGTTTCTATCTCAAAAGAGACAACTCAAGTGGCACAAAGTGCAACCCAGGTACTGACATGAAACGCTGTGTGGGGACAGTCGTCCAAACTGAGTGGAAATGGAAGTGCACGTTTTACTCATCAAAAAGTAATTTGGGTCATATTTCATCTTGGAAAGTGCTTTAATGTGCTTTTCAAACTGTGCTATTCTGAGTCTATTTACACAATTAAAATACTGTTATTGAATTTTCTAGAAGCTAGAAATTAAAATAAATAGAATTTTTTACTCCACAAATTGGAAAAGATTTTTGTTTTAAGAATAATAGCCATCGTTGATGAGGATAGGGGGAAATGGATGTTCTCGTCCACACACACTTTTTATGTAAATGAGCACAGTGTTGGGGAACACAATTTGGAAATGAGATGGAATGTTATCCAGAATATGTGTCACCCAACCCAGTGCGGGGTTAGTGATATTCCAGTGTAGAATCTTAACTCCGAAAGAAGCTTAAGCTCGAAAAGACTAGATCCAGCCTCACATATTCTTGAAGCATCCTTTTGTTCTTAGGATTTGGTAGAACTGCAGCTGACCACTTTAAAAGAATTAGAACCCACCAATTCATCTCACTAAAGTTTTTACAAATGTGTTTTAGGTTCCTGAGTCCTTTGAGCATCTGCCACCTCTCCCAGAACCACCAGTACTGCTACCTGAACTGGTAGACAAAATCCGGGACACACTTCCTCCCCAGAAGCCTGAGCTTAAAGTGAAACGGGTGCTGAGACCCAAGGGCATCGCCCTGACTTGGAACATCACCAAAATCAATCCCAAGTGTGCGCCCGTGGAAAGCTACCACCTCTTCCTGTGCCATGAGAACCCCAATAATAAGTTGGTTTGGAAGAAAATTGGAGAAATTAAAGCTTTACCACTCCCAATGGCCTGTACTTTATCTCAGTTTTTAGCTTCCAACAAATATTATTTCACTGTCCAATCTAAAGATATTTTTGGGCGATATGGACCATTTTGTGATATAAAATCTATCCCTGGGTTTTCCGAAGCTCTCAGTTAAAAGAAAAATCTTCATTAATTATATACTGTACTACATTGGTTTTTTTTTTTTTCATATTTAAGTTGTTTATTTACAATATGCCATCTTGAAGGGCCAGTAAGATTGTGAGCCCTTTGTAGAGGGACAGTCCTCTTCCTTATGTTGTAGTGGCCTCCAGTTTTATGAATTTCTGATTTGCATTCAGTAAGTACTTCCAATGGATATGTTCTAGAACATCCACTATCATCAATCCATGTCTCTAAGCTGTGCTATGTATGATACCTTTGGTGACTATGGAACTGCTGCTCTCAGAAGCCCGAAGATACGAGCAGCCACCATTTACTCTGTAGACAATCAGCTTTAGGTCACCTTCCTGTGGTCAGTATAGGTACAAGAAAAATCAGTTCTTTACTGAGGCCAGGTAATCCCTGGGGTGCATCTCCACCAAGATTTTATGAAAATGAAAATAAATGTCTTCCCATTCTGTTCAAATTCTAAGGGCTATTAATTTGTGCCCTCACCACCACCTCCTTTTTTTTTTTTAACGTCTATCATTTAGGGAAATAGTCTGGAGGTATTCCCTAAATCTGTATACATATGTATAATAAAATTAGTTACTCATTGTGTGCTGTGTACACAAAATATACAATATCTTTTATAAAAGCATCCAACCCACTATTTCAGTTGAAGAAAATGGAATTGTCTGCCTTAGATTTAAGGCTTTAATTGGCTGATTCCCTAATGCTACGCTTTGCTCATTTCCTGGCTGCCATCATTACACTAGGGCTCTCCGATAGACGTGTCCTGTGCACTTCTCTATCTGAGGGGCCACTTCGCTGAAGCTGTGGCTGGCACAGGAAACCCAAGAAACTTGATGAGTGAACAGACTGGGTAAGTCAGGATCCAGTGGGACAAACTCTATGGGATGTTGAGAAAACGGGAAGATAACCATTAGTGTGAAAGAGTCTGTTAAAAAGAGGCATTCTTTTCTGTTACATAGTGAAAGTTCAAGCCTCCAAGGCACTGAGATTTTTTAAATGAACAGAGAATGGTTTTCTTTGGCATTTGTGGATGCCTTCACCTCTTCAGCCATGAATAAAGCTGTTATTTTTCAGTCTCCTGTGTCTTTCCCTTCCAAAACATTACGACCGAAAGAGCCAGCCAGATTCTGGGCTGAAATGAATGGGATGAGCTGCCCTCTGCAGCCCCATTTCGGGCTCACCAATGGAGTGCATCCTGCGGCCTGGGACGCGGGCTCCCTTTCAGGGAGGATTGCACCTCTGGTTGATGTAAGCTAGACAGTCACTCGCTAAGGGAAGCCCACAGACCTTAGCAAGATTTTGGTGTGTGTCTCCAAAGTGAAACCGCTTCCCCAACCGGTGAATCGGCAATGTCGATCAGCACGCTAGTCTTAAAAGTTTTCACAGTAATAGGAAAAGGGAGGAAGGCTTGACAGCAGGCATCTTAGAAGCATTAATGTTTCTCCCCTTTTGGAGGGCAGGAGCAAGATTCTCCACTGTTATCAGTGACACCAAAGAGATCCAGTACATAGTTCAAAGAGCAGACCCCACCGGTGCCATGAAACACTTCACGTACTTTTGTTGGGAAACTTTTATGCCTCTTTTAAGAGACAGGACCAAAGTCTGATAAGCTAAAATTGAATATATTGACAAAAGGCTATTAGGTAGCTCTTGGAATCACCATGGAACTGAGAGACTCAGGCTTGGGGAAAAGGGGGAAAAAAAGGTTGTGACAAATTAAGTTTCAAACCTGAGTTTATGCAATTCACATTCTACAACGTAATGATATGTTAAGTTTACCCATTTTAAAGATGGGAAAACTGGTCAGAGTTTAGACAGCTTGCCCAAGGCACAGAGACCCAGCCCATTCAAACCCAGTGCTCTGGTCCTAGGTTCCTGCTGCATACGCCACACTGTGCTGCCTCGTGGGGACCAGATGGGTGGAACAGGAAGAATTCACCACTGTTCCTGCTGCCTTGTGGCTCCAGAATCAAAACCTCAGACACACATCTGATTGGCTTATCTTAGGGCAGGTGTCGAAGCTGCAGGTGAACAGGAAAGGAAACCTCTGCCATTTTTGGTCAATGAGCAGTACACTATATCGCCCTTGACACTCATAAGGCAGGTGTGGTGGTTTTGTATTGTGTCCATGTCACTAACCTGGAACTACCTCTCCCAGGATGTCTTCTAGCCATGTGAAGGTTAGCGTTGGTTATGAGACACTGCATAAGATTCCGAGGCAGAAATGAAACAGCAGTCAATTTCAGAACGTTTTACGTTCTGAAAGTAGATACAGGGCATCAGTGTGGCGGTTTATGCCTGCTCGCTGAGCTGCTGGCTCATGGACCTGCAGCTTCAGCCAGAGATGCCTTTGGCCTGTCCAAGTACAAGGCCCATACGTGTGCTGCTTCGTGCTTTTCCCACAGACCCGTGATTCCCATGGTTTCAAGGGTGGAGGTGGTGACACACACATGCTCTTCTAGTTTGTACTTGCTCTCATCCACATCCATCCTTGACTGCCACCTAGTTGATGTCTAGACTCCAGGCTCAGTACTGGATCCAGAGGAAACAGTTTGCATAACCTTCTCCACTAGCTCTCCCACACCAGGCCACGTCTAGCCCTATGATAAATTCCTTTTTCTATAACTTCGATGGCTCCCTCCCTAAGATTGTGGGGAGTCCTCAGGCAGAGGAAGCATGTCCTTGCTCTGGGGACTCGAGTAGGGCGCACTAGTTTGTCCAACTGTCCTGGAAAGTGACACATCTCATATGTTGCTCTCATAGACTATGAACTTGGGTCTGAAAGCCAGTTCCAACACATTTCATTTCTCTGCTCCTCCTTTTCCTCCATGTGTAAAGCGAAGGCAGTGCTGACTCCTACATTTCGTAATAGGCTCCTTCCCTTCCTCCCTCCTCTCTCCCTCAATCTTTCCTTACTTAACCAATTCTGTTGCATGAGACCAAGAACCCTAATTGATACAAGGCCATTGTAAGGAATTTAATGAGACGATATAAAATACCAAAGACGAAGCAAGTTCTTATTAGTAAATGATAGAAAGCAAAGAATGAAATAAAACCTTTGCTAGGGGACAAGGGTATTAGAAATACCACATGCCCCGGGTAACTGCTAATTTACTGGAGCAAGAGGGTCCCAGCCCTTGTCTCAGCAAGAGACAGCATGTCACTCAGAGGTGGCCATGGAGGTAGAAGAAAATCCTTTTAAAAATTACATGTGAACACAGTATGAAGAAAGAGGCAGGGCTTGAAGAGAGAGATGCAGCCACAAGACAAGGAAACACGGGAGCCACCAGAAGCTGGACGAGGTTAAGAAAGGATTCTCCCCTAGAGACTTCAGAGGGAACGCACCCCTGCTTATGCCAAAGCGACTTATTTTGGGGCAGCACATTCTGATCCCCATCACCATGGATAAATTTAAAAAAATCAAGTAACTGATATTGAACTTCTGGCCTCTAAAACTGTGAGAAAATGCATTTCTGCTGTTTTAAACCACCAAGTCTGTGGTCGTTTGTTATAGCAGCTCTAAGGAAACTAATACAGTCACTCTTCACTGGAGACCACGATTTGTTCATAAAAGCCCTCACCCAGGATGCCACGGAGGTGGGTCCTCCTGGGTGCTCCTAGACACTCACAGTGTTTCCCACCAATTAGGAAGACACAAAGCCCCCACCCCCAGTCTTCTCTAGGGGTCTTCCCTCAGGGAGATGTATCCAACATCATGAAATGAGATTGAGACCTTATCTCGAACTGGCCGTTGGCAGCTGAAGTAGCAAAGACTTGGAGATAGCCTAACACTTTCACCCATTACCCATTACAAAAATCCAGAGCAGGAGTAAAAGAATTAAACAAACAAACAAACAAACAAAAAAACCACTATAATGCAGAAATCTAATGCTGCAATCAGTTCCTACCTTTCAGCTTCATGAGATTGTGGGATGGGGGAGGTACAGTTACTTGATTTTTTAAATTTATCCATGGTGATGGGGATCAGAACATGCCGCCCCAAAATAAGTCACTTTGGCATAAGGATTATGTTGAGCTAAAGGTAGAAACAAAGCATAGGAAGAGTTCTCTGCCTAAAATCAGGGCATAAAGTTCCCTTTGTAAAGGTGGCATAAATTTCCATTTGTAGTAAATGATAGAAAAGCAGAGAATGAAATAAAACCTTCTAGTACCTAGAAGACCAGAGATGGCCCCGAGAGAGTCTGCATAACAAACCTTACTAAACAACCCTTATTTACTATGCATTTCCTAGTTCCCTTCCCACGGTGTACCCCAACCTGGAGTCCAAATCCCTTCCTTTTGTCTTGTCACTTCTCCATAATTTATTTATCTCCCTTTGTTAAAGCTCTCAAGTCTAACCCTTTCTTTGGGGTTTCACTGATTTTCTCCGAAGCCTCTGTGCACGTAAAAATATTAAATGTTGTATTCCTTCTCACCTGTTACTCTGTCTTTTTGTCAAATTCACAGAACCTAAGAGGGACGAGGAAATGAAAACAGACTCAGATACAGAGAACAAACTGATGGTTGCCGGATGAGAGAGGGGTCGGGGGACTGGGTAACAAAAGTGAAGGGGTTAGGAAGTACAAATCGCTAATCACAAAATAGTCACAAAGCTATAAAGCACAGCATAGGGAAAATAGTCTGTAAATTGTAATAACCACATATAGTGCCAGGTGAGTACTAGACTGACCAGGGCCGGGGGGGGATCACTTTGTAAATTATATAAATGTCTAACTACTGCACTATACATCTAAAACTAATATAAAGTCATATAGAACGCGAACTCTAACTGGAAAATAAAAATAAAAGAGAGAAGAAGAAAAGGTTTTCCTCCTCTCCAGCGGGAACTACGGGGAGTGGGACTGTCCTGGGGTGATGGGAACCCCACCCACTGGGATCCAAACATCCAACGTGTAGGCGTTACAATGGCTGGTAGGGGATGTCAACAGATTAGCTATTTAGAATGGGGAATAGGACAAA